CAGAGAACAGGGTCTACCCCTCTGTGCATGTGATTTAGCAATGATGAGGGATACTCTACAGATATATGCAAGTACAACATGAAGAACTCCTAAAACACCATCTATATGAAAGAAGCCAGATTCGGAAGACTACACATCGTGGGATCTCGTTTCTAAGTCATCCAGAAAAAAAGCATATAGGCAGAGACACCAGGCAGGTTGGTGACTGCTCCAGAGGGGAGCTGATTGCAAACAGACAGGAAGGGATTTGGGGAGGGGGTGGGATTCAAACGTTCTAAAACTAGACCCTGGAGATGAATACACTGCTTTAAATTTTTTTTTTTTTCCCGAGACAGGGTTTCTCTGTGTAGTTTTGGTGCCTGTCCTGGATCTTGCTCTGTAGACCAGGCTGGCCTCGAACTCACAGAGATCCACCTGGCTCTGCCTCCCGAATGCTTGGATTAAAGGCACGCACCACCGCTGCCCGGCTGCTCTAAATTTTCTTTAAAAAAAAAAAATCATCGCTGTACTTAAATTGGGTGGCTTCAAGATGGACCAATTCTACCTCAGCCAACCAGGAAACTACAGGTGCAGGTTGAGAGAAAGCGGTCATGAGAAGGAACCACAAAGACCTGTACCTTTAAAAAAAAAAAGGGCTACACTTCCAGCTTACCATTTGGTGACTAGAGCAGGAGCCCCTGAGGTCCCCCGGATTTGTGCCAGAGAACACTGGAGGTCTTCCCCTCTCCAGCCAGGACATCTCTGGTGCTCATCACTGGGTTTCCACGCTAGACACCCCAGGATGCTATGATGCCTTTGGCAGTCTACAGACCAGACAGGCAAACACCGTGGTCTCGTCTCCTAGACTGTGACCTCTTAATAGTCAAAGTACCAGAGGTAGGCTGGCAGCTCAGATACATTCACTTATTGCAACCCATTTCCCCCTGCACTCTGGGCAAGTGATCTGTCATGGGGTTTCAACCCCAGCACAGATGCAGACTCATATACTGACAGGCTTAGGCAGCCCCTCTCAGATCACGTAGCCCAGAGGTTTTGGGTTGTTTTTTGTTTTGGCTTTTGATTTTTCGAGGCAGAGTTTCTCTGTGTAGCCTTGGCTGTCCTGGAACTCTCTCTGTAGAACAGGCTGGCTTCAAACTCACAGAGATCCATCTGCCTCTGCCTCCCAAGTGCTGGGACTAAATTCTAGGTTCAGATGGGGCTATTAGCAGAAAATCAAAAGTATCTTGTCACACTTGGGTAAGCCGTTACTACCAGAAACTGTGTAAGCAGCCTGCCTAGTCAGCTAGTGATATTATCCAAAGAAAGAGGCTTTAACTTGAAGCCAACTATTAAAAAGTGAGCATGCTGGGCTGGAGAGATGGCTCAGCGGCTAGGAGCACTGGCTGCTCTTGTAGAGGACCTGGGTTCAGTTCCCAGCACCCACATGGCAGCTCACAACCGCCTGTAACTCCACTTCCAGGGAATTACTCCTCTTTTCACCGGCACCAGACATGCACAGGTAAGACACACATCCACATACTCACTAAATAAATAAATAAATAAATAAATAAATAAATAAATAAATAAATCTTAGAAAAAATTCCCATGCTGGTGGAATCAGGTATATTGACATCAATGTAAAGCAAGAGCACTTTGGTGTTTTGAGACAGGGCTTCTCTGTGTAGCTTTGGAAACTGTCCTGGAACTCGCTCTGTAGACCAGGCTGGCCTTGAACTCACAGAGATCCACCTGCCTCTGCCTCCCGAGTGCTGGGACTAAAAGCCTGCACCACCACTGCCCGGCTAGATGTATTTGGGTTTTTAACACGGTTGTTTATGTGTATGTGTGTGTGTGTGGAGGTCAGGGAACAACTTGCAGGAGTAGGCTCTCTCCAGTCACCGTGTGGGTCCCAGGGATTGAACCATGGTTGTCAGGCTTGGCAGCAAGCACCTATACCTGCTGAGCCATTTCACAGGCCCTTGCTGTATTTTTATTCACTACCCAAGGAGCTTTCCCCAAAGCATCACCGAGGAAGCCCAGGGCTTCAAGGAGCACAGCTGTTGGCCAAACACATTGCTTGACAGGTAGGGAAACTGAGGCCTGAGCAAGGCAGAACATTCACTTTGGAGAACTCCCAAGCTTTGAATCAACTTCGAAGAAGACAGGTCTTTCCAATTCATCCGACAATGAAGAAAAGAAAGGAAGGTGTACATGAGCCTCCCAGAAAGGCGGGAAGAGAGATGCCTACACCCCACCTGTCTCAGCAGGGCTGGCTCATTCCAGGACAGTGCCAGAAGCTGACATCACACCCCACACCCTGGGTGCAACCTGAACAGCTCATTGCTCAATGCCAACCCATCTCCCTCTAAGCCTGGGCACAGTCTTTCCGTCACCTTAGCAGCCAGGGCCAAAAAGCACACACACAATTAAACAAATACAGCGCAAGCCTGTGTCATGGCTACACTGCCCAGGGTGGCAGACAGGAGGGCCAGCCCAACCCTCCTCCTCCAGTTTCACCATCGAAGGCAACCGTCTCTTTCCCTAGACCGCCCTGATGGGGATGACCACCAAGGGCAGAGGGTGCCCCCACTATGAACGGCACTGGACATTCCCAAGGCCAGAGAGAAAAGCATCCCCCAGCAAGCCAGGCCCTGCATGTGCAACAGGGACTCCAGGCATGGCTAAACTCTGCTTATCACAGGTAATGACCTCTACTTGATTATTTTGCACCTTCCAACAGGAGCTTCATCCCACTCTACCCTGGAGCACTGGCTGGAGTTTTCTATTTCCACTTCCCTGAGGAGTGCACAGGCTTCCAAGAACCTGACAATCTCCCTCCTCTGCAGGTGATGGGAGCTAGCCCCGGACTTCTTCCCAGTCAGTAGACCTCAGCAGCAGGTAAGAAAGGAGACCCAGGCCCAGCTTCCAGGGAGACGGTAGGAACGGAAGGAATGGCCCCACTCCCTTAAGAGTCAGGAAAGCAGAGTTACACACGCCTGAGATAGGAGCCTAAGACCAGAGGGCCCCTCCCCCATGCAGACCTGAGAACTACACACACACACACAGACCCTCTTTTTCTCTCTCTCCCTCCCTGTGTCAGAAAGCTGAGCAGACAGTATTGTTAGCCAGGCTGCAGGCAGAAAGCAGTGCCAGTATTGCAGCCAAGGAATCTGGACTTCAGGGAGCACACTGACCATCTTGCAGGCAGTCTGCCCCTGACCTCCAGCTGGACCCATGATCTGGGTCCACCTAATAGTCTAACCCATGGGCATCTCTCCCATGGGGGACCTCAATAATCCTTGAGACTTGGAAGAATGTGAAGAAAAGGATGAATTTTCTTAAAGGCTGGTGGCTGGTTCTGATTGTGCAGCCCAGGGATCTGGGCCTTACAGACCTGGAACAAAACAGCCAACCCTGGGGCCCTGGGGACAGACAGATCCATCCATCTTCTCACATGAGCTCATTAAATTCAAGGACAAAAAAATGACAATGTGCTAGTTGAGAGTTTTTCTTTACACCTGCTATGGGAAGGGAATCTCCCAGCCTGGGAGACACACCAGCCAGGACTCCCATCAATGGATCAAATCTTGACTTTCACCACGGATTAGCCAAGGCGCCTTGGGCAAGTCACTTAGCACCTCTTCACCTCAGTTTCCTCATCTGCAATATGGGGACAAGACTGCCTCACACCGCATTGTCATGTGGACAGAATGAGATCACCACAAGTCCGCTGGTTATTACGTCCCTGGGAAACAATGTGCCTGGCTCCGAGGGTCGGCGCCCAGGTATCCTGCGCAGTGCCCTGCGCTCGTGGATTCAGATGACCGAATCCTCCCTGCAGCTCGTAGCCCACCTGCCAGGCCCTGCTGCCCGTCCCAGGAGCGGCGGAGGAGGGGCGCATCCACTCACCTCCGTTTGTACTCGTCACGCTCGCGCTTCACCTTGGCCAGCACGTTGTAGAGTGCGCGGATCTCTGGCGTGATGGTGTCAATCTGCACACCCACGCCGTCCGGGTGCACCCACGACACGCCGGGGCCCTGCACTGTCTCCACGCCGCCGCCGCCCGTGCGCCGCACCTGCGTGTAGCTCCATATGGTCCCGGGCAGGCGACCGTAGTGCTGCGGGTGCGAGCCGCCGCCGGGGGGCAGGCCGCCCAGGGCCACCGCGTTGGCGTTGACGCCGGTGGCCGCGCCGAGGGCCTGCCCGCCGCCCGCAGCCGGCGGCCGCAGCAGTTCGGGCCCGGTCTGCACGGCCTGCTCGCGGGAGAAGGTCTTGTAGCGCAGCCGCCGCTCGCGCTCGCTCTGCTGCTGCTCCAGCTGCTTCTCCAGGAGCCGGTTGCGCCGCTCCAGCTCGTGCACTTTGGCCAAGAAGCAGCGGAAGCGCACGTTGAGCCCCTTGAGGAGGTGGATGTTGGAGCCCAGATCGTCCCGCAGTGCCGCCGTTACAGGCGAGGGCCCCGGCCCGGCCCCACCACCACCGCCACCGCCTGCGCAGCCGCCGCCCCCCGGCGGGCAGCCGAAAGCCAAGGCCATCTCCCCGAACAGCAGCGAGTTGACCATGCGCCGGCTGCGCGGCTCAGGTCCCCGGGCCCGTGGCTCCAGATGGGGCTCCAGCTCCGGGCCGGGTTCCCGGCGTGGCCGGGCCAGGGCGGGTGCGGGCTCCAGCGCGGCCGGGGTGGTGCTAGGTACACGCCAGATGCAGCTCCGCAGCGCCGGAAGAGAGAGCGGGACGAGCCGGAGGTCGCTGTGACGGCGTGGGGCTGGCGAGGGGCTCGGTGCCTGCGCCGCGACTGTCAGAGCTGCTGTGGACCGGCCGCAGTAGCGGCGCGCAGAGGACTCTCGGCCGGCGCTGCCCCCTCTGCGACGGGCCCCGCCCTCTGCAGGCACAGACCACGCCCCCGGGGCCCGCCCTCTGCAGACACAGACCACACCCCCCGCCTGGCAGTCCTCTGCAGGCAAAGGCCACGCCCCTCCCTGACCCGCCCTCTATCGGCGAAGGCCCTGCCCCCTTGCCTGGACCGCCCTCTGCGGGCATAGACCACGCCCCCTCCACCCAATGCAGCGATTTCACCCGCTGAGACTCGGCTCCCAGGCCCTGCAGCCCCGGCCACGCCCACAACCCCTTGAACTCCGCCCACCCACAAGCTGCGCCACTTGTCTGCGAGGCGCCAGGCGACTGCTGCAGCTTAGGCTCCGCCCAGCAATGGCCCGGAAAGCCCTCGCCTGCGTGCGGCGCTGCAGGCCTAGCGGGGTTCAGGTAAATCTAATGCAGTCTGCATACGAAACTGCAGCGGGGAGAGCGGCAGAGCCGGGAGCAGCAGCCTCTTAAAGAGTCGGGCGATCTGGATCCGCTCACTTCCCCTCCGAGGGAGCCCTCTTCCACCAAGTCTGCTAAGGGGCTTGACTTCCCGCCCGCCCTGCCTCCGCGCCCCAAATTTCCCTGCCCCAGATTCTCACGCCTGCGAATGACTGTGGCCTGCAAAGGTCTGGCAACCATAGCGTGCGAAGATACATGCATGCCAACTCCAGCCTCCGGCGGCCTAGGTCGCCCTCCCGTCCCCCATTAGGCAGATCCAGGGCTCCTCACCCACCTCTACCCGCAGGCTTCGAGCCCGCTGGTCCACAGGCAAACCGAGATTCAGGGACGCCAGGTAAGACGGGGAAGAACAACCGATGACCCTCCCAGCATGCCTGTCCTAAGCCCTGACTAACCACCTCCCACCACCACATTCTCACAGGCTGCGATGATGTAGCCCACAGCTGGGGGGTCTATTCGTCTATTCTCCCAACTGCCTTGCTGCGATGTGGAGAAGTATTTAGAGGATGTACTTATCCATCCATCCATCCATCTGTTCATTCATTCATTCATTCATTCATCCAGATGTCTTCACATCTACCGCCCTAAAGTCAGTGTCTCCTGCAATTTCCAAGCGTCTCCTGCACCCACCGCAAGCATTAGCATACAGCAGGTGAAGTGTTATCCTCACTTTATAGAGAAGGTCACTGAGACCTGAGCAGTCACCACCATCTCAAGCATGCTCTAACCAGCCTTCCAAGCTGCTGGCCTTTGGTTCTCACCACAAACTTCATAAAGGAGGGACCCCACCCTTGAATGCCTGTGGCTTACACCGCCAGCTCTTAACCAGATATGTGGTATGTTCTGGATTTGTCCAGCCACATCTTTTTTTTTTCTTTTCGCTGCCCTGCTGTCTTGTTACTAACTTGTGTATTTGTCTTATCTGTTTGTGTAAGCTTGTGGGTAGGTACCCTGTCTTCCGGGGACAATGCCTTGGTGTTCTTTGTGACAGAAGACAGTAGCTTGCCCTAGGGTGGTGCTGTGCCTCTGATGTTACTGCTGTGTTTCAGGGTTAGTCATGTTGCCTTCCCTCACTCCCAGCTCCTTGCTCCCTGACAGATGGACACACCTCTGAACTCTGACAGTCCCTTCTGGCAGTCTTTCTCCTCTGAACCCAACCCTACCTGGCCACTGTTCTGAACTCTTAGATCTCATAGCCTTCAATGTTTTCCTTATCCACCCCAAAGAATCAGGAACCCTTTGCCTTGAAGTGGGGGGCTCTTGGGCTCCCACGTGGACTGAGAATAGAATTCTGAGGGGTCTGTGACACTGGGATGGACCTAAGTTCCACTTTTATGGTCGCTGGTCTTTTGAATGCTAGTCAGCATTTCCTTTGACTCTGAATGAAGTCCTTGTGATTCTGTCGCCCATAGAAATCAGATACGCCCGTATGATCGGTGCTGTAAATATCCTGAGACCTGAGCTACCAACATTCTGAAAGTCCTCTTGGGCTTACTGCTATATCTGTTTGCTTGGTTTTTATAGTGTTTGGAATGGAACTCAGAGCATCTCAATTGCTAGGCAAGCCGCATCCTCAGCCCTAAACCTCATTTTAAAAAATCATGTGTGTGTGTGTGTGTGTGTGTGTGTGTGTGTGTGTGTGTGCAAGCACACACATACCACAACTTCAGATGTTGGTCCCCGCCTTCTGCCTTACTTGAGACAAGATATCTATGATGCTTTGTATGCCAGGCTAGCTGGCCCTAGGGGTTCTAGCTGGCCCTGGTGACTCTCCTGTCTCCTCCTCTCTCATGATAGGAATCTGGAATTACAGATGCTTGCCTCTGCATCCAGTCTTATATGAATCCCAGGGATCTGAACTCAGGACCTCACACTTGTGCAGCAGGGTTTCACCCACTGAGCCAGCTCTCAAGCTCCACTAGTTAGTGTGCTGATAAAGAAATAAATATATCATGATGCTGTGAATTTGCTTTTTGAAGACTTTGGTGACTTGCATTTTAAACTCTTTTCGTTGCATAAATTTTGTCAGAATGCAAAAACAAAATGATACGGTTTTTGTTTGTTCATTTTCGAAACAGGGTATCATGTAGCCCAGGCTGGCCTTGAATTTCTGATCTTCCTGGGTCCACCTCCCAAGTGCTAAGATTACAGGCATAGGGCATCATGCATGGGTTATGCATCAAGGCCTTCAGCTGGCTAGGAAAGCCCTCTTCTGACAGCCACATCATAATGCATTGTTTTGCTTGTTTGTTGAGGCAGCAGTGCCTCTCCATGTAGCCCAGGCTAGCCTTGCACTCCCAGAGATCCATCTGCTCTGTATATAGAATGCTGGTATTAAAGACCACCATATGCAGCCTCATAATGCATTCACATAAGGTGAGAGGGAGAAATACCAAATAGCCCACCACCTAGGGGACCAACAAACAGCCTTCCGGTTTGCCCAGGACGTAGGGGTTTCCCTTGATGCAGACATTCAGTGCCCAAACCCAAGATTGATTGGCCCGCCCTCCAGCCCAGGCAGAGCTGGGTGCTTCTGTCAGCAATGACTGCCAGTATCACCATCATTCGGCACTTACTTGGGGCTGCTTTGCTTAAGCAAACGGAGTTCTCAGTGCCCATCATGCACTGAGCAGCATCTCCTACAACGCTACCCAGCACCCCTGCCAGGGCCTAAGTTCAGCCTGCCGCCGGGCAGAAGGGGTTCCCCCTCCCCTGCCTCCCATCCCTCCAAGCTTCAGTTTCCAGAACATTCCAATCAGGCTTCTTCTCCAGTGAAATGAAAAAGTACAGTAAACCATCATGGCACCAAGGGAGGGAGTGGCTGGGAGCCCTCACCGTGCCAGAGGAAAACTCACCCCTAACTTGCACAGGCTTTGTCCTTGAGATGTCCCATGGCTCCCCCTCCCCGCCAAAGAAACAATAATGACAACAGCAGCCAAAACAACAAAAAAAAAATCTTGGCAGAAATGGTGACTAGAGCTCACCTGGGCTCAGCGGCACGTTGCAGAACCTCATCTTTCCTGGGACCTCCAGGCTACACAGGGCCTCAGCTGTCTGTTGGCTCCACGATTATTCTGGGTGTGTTCACCTTCCTCGAAAAGGGTGTGGATCTCACTAAATTCAGGGCGCCAGAGTGTCCTGCTGGCTGCCCTGACAGCACTGATCTTGGTCAGCAGTCTTGAGGGAGCCCCTGGTGGCTTCCGGCGCCTTCCCCATTGAGGATGCTCGCCTGGGTGCCCCTGTCTGTGTAGTGTTGTTGGGAAGAGGGGACCCAGACTCAGGGACCACAGATGATTAACTGTGAGGTCTTGGGCAAGTTATTCAACCTCCCTGTGCCTCAGTTTTCCCTCTGCAAAGTGGGCTGGTGATGGTTCATAGGGTTGCTGTGACGTGCTAACTGTCATAAGCCAGCATTCTTCCTATCCCGTCCTGTGTGGTAATGAACTCTGTGCCAGGCAGACAGGAGGCCACCCTGGATCACTCCACAGAGAGCCACAGGACCGGAGGGCCTTGCAATCGGCCTCTGTCCACATCTCCCGCAGACTGACCTCACTCAGATGATAGGGAGTGAAGAAATGATAGACGCACATGCAGGAAAGCTGGGATTGGGTGGGCTGTGGGTTCTGATGGAGATACAGCATCATTTGGGAAATTTATTGTGTTTATTATACACAGATGGCAGAGGCAGGGGGATGTTAGCTAATGTCAGTGGGGTCTCTGTAGAGAGCAGTGTCAGGATGAGGTCATTCTGAGGAGAAAGTGGTCTGGAGCACTGGTGTCCTTAACATGGCCATGCTCATTCGTACAGGGGTACACTCGCTCCTCAAACAGGAGAGGTATCTGCTGACTGTGTCCTTCCCTCACCCGCCCCTCTCATGAAAACGCCATCTATCAAATACTCTTCCTACAGATGGAGAAGCAGAGGCTCATGGGAGGAAAGGATTCAGCCAAAGACACAGTGCACAGCACAGCTCAGCTTTGAATCCAGTTCCAACCTCCCCACCAAGCTCCTCCTGCTCTGCCTATATCCCCTCCCATAACACCTTTTGTTTCCCTTTCTCCATTTTTATTTAGTGTGTATAGGGACCAGAAGTGGGCACATATGTAAGTCAGAGGACAACTTGTGGGAGTGTGGGTCCCAGCGTTGGAACTCAGGTCCTTAGGTGGCGGCAGGCACCTTTACTGGTGAAGCTATCTCAATAGCCCCTCCCCTGGCATCTTAAAGGGGAGGGAAGGAATGAGTTGTGTTTTCAGAAACCTTCACATGAGTAGGAAGAGACAGATAGAAGCAAGGGGTGAGCCAGGTGTGGTGACACACACCTTTAATCCCGGCTCTCAGGAGGCAGAGGCAGGCAGATTTCTGAGTTTGAGGCCAGCCTGGTCTACAGAGCAAGTTCCAGGACAGCCAGGGCTACACAGAGAAATCTTGTCTCATGAAAACCAAAAGCAAAAACAAAACAAAAGCAAGGGATAGTGGCACCATCAATGAATCCAGAGCCCAGAGGCAGCGCCATCGTGTACTCCAGCTGCTGGGCCTTGGCACATGTGGCCCCCTCCTCCAGAACAAAGTCCCCAGCCTTTCTGGCTGGCCGGCTCCTGACTTCGTTCTCTGGGAGTCCACCTTGCTTCTTATTTTGACTCTGCCCAGAGTATGTATAATTTACATTTAGTAAATGCACAGGTCCCAAGTGTGCAGCTCAATGAATTTGTAAGTGGGCATTTATTCACCAGACCACATCCCACACGTTGGGGAGTCCCCTCTTGTTCCCTTTCAGTCTCCTGCTCCCAAAGTTGTGAGGACTTTTCTCACCCTCGATTCCTTTCCAGTCCATTCTAGAACTGCATATTCTGGTGCAGGACGTCCTCGGTTTATTTCTCTCAGCCTGTACGTGAGATTCGCCCACACAGTGTTCATACGGCAGCATTTAGTTCCTCGGCTGCATGGTGTCACTATAGACACATCAGGGTGGATTCATTCCATCCTGCTGCAGGTGGGCACCTGGGTTGTTCCTTAGCTTGGAGGTGCTGCAAGCCGCTACAGACCCTCTCAAAGATGCTTTCGGTAAAGTTAGGAACTTGTCCGTCTTGGGTACAGCCCCAGAGATAGATCACTGCTGCAATGGACGCAAGCAAGTTCAGTGCTACCAGACATTGACTGACAGCTTTCTAAGCCCGCCATTCAACGGCACACTAAAGCAGAGCATGTGGGCGTATAGACGGAAGTCCTGAACCAGCGTAGCTGCCTCCCGCTGCTTTCCCTGTGGCATAGCCAGCCCTCTCTGTCATGTGTCCATTAGCACACTGCCCCCCTCATCTCTCACACCTCCATCTGACCCACAGCTCCGTCAGGAAGATGAAGCCAGCCCATCACGCCAGCCTTGGCCTTACCTTTTCCAGATTCTTCCTAGTACCCCTGAAGTCCTGTCTGGAGGACACAAGTCCCTCTCTTGGCTGTGTGCTAACTCATTTGAAGCCTAGTACTTATTGAGGTAGTTCTTCTCTTGGTAGGGGTTGGGGCAGGAATACTGGGCCTCTTGGAGCCTCAGTTTTCCCAGCAATTAAGTAGGTACAGGGGCTGAGGGGGTGACTCCATTGGTAGAGTACCTGTCACACAGCGTGAGAACTCCATCACCTACGTAAAAGCCAGGCACTATAGCACACATCTGCAACCCCAGAACAGCAAAACGATGTTGCTGTTCTTGCAAAGGATCTGGGTTCAGTTTCCAGCACCCACATGGAGGTTCACAACCATCTGTGACTCCAGTCTCAAGATATCTGACACCCCCTCTCCTAGCATCTGTGGGAACAGGTACATACATGGTACTCCGACATACATGCAGGCAAACCCCTCATACACACAAAACGATTTACCAAAATAATAGTAATAATAAGATGAAGAGGAATCAAGGAAGACATCCTACAGTGACTTCTAGCCTCTAAATACATGTGTACATGTGCTCACACCCACAGGTGCATGTACACACACACACACACACACACACACACACACACACACACACCACCAAATTAAAACAAAACAGAATAAGAATGCAATGCTGCCTCAGGGGTTGAGGTGAGAGCTCTGTCTCTGTCTCTCTGTCTCTCTGTATCTCTCTGTCTCTCTGATACTGTGCATTGTCTCTGGGAGATGGCAGAGGAGCATGGAGTCAGAGCCACATCCAGGTCACTAGAAAGCCTGCAGCCCTCTCAGGAGAGACGATGTTTCCTACCCCAGTATCATTGTCATCTAAAGGCAGCACAGTCCACAGAGATGGACCCCAGCTCGAGGAGAAGGTAGGCCCTGAGCCCCTCTGTCTGTTACCTGGGCAGCGTCTCATCCGTCCTCATCATGCCCTGCTCACATCAGCTCCAGCAGCAGTGAGCTTAGCAGTACTCAGCACCTGCCAGGCATCATCATTCTTCCCTAATGAATTTAAGGGCAGGGCCTTCATGCCCATTTTAAGGATGGAGAAACTGACGGTGGGAGAGGAGAAGCTAGGCAACCAGGAGAAGGTCCTCATTTTGGAGGACCAGAGAGCCAAAGTCCTAATGTGGAGGCAGGTACCGCATGAATACTGCACTGCCCCCTGGAGGGGTGCAACTAGTGAAACTTTGCCAGGAAGTCTCCAAAGGATCCAGGGTCTACAGGGATGGGAGAGTGAGGTGTCCTCGCTGTGGGGGCCCCCCTGCCTTCTCTACAGGTTGCCTTTCTTCCCAGTGGAAGGCAGCCAGGTACATGCACATTTAACCTCCCCCAGTTACATCATGCCTCAGGGAAAGCCCTCAGAGGCGCGCAAGGCAGGTCCTAGTGGCTACAAATACTGCTGCAGCAATGGTCCCAGCCACAGGACCTCCAGGAGGTGACCAGAAAAGAGGGTGACTCAGAAGCCCTATTCCCGTGGCCCAGCCCTGTCAGAACCATGAAGCAGAGTGATGCCCTGAGTTTACCCGGGCTTCAATGACAGATCGGTCTCCTGCTGTCCCCAGCACAAACGTGGAAATCACTCAACATCCAGAAGTCCCTGAGTCAGCCTGGTGACCTCCCCG